TGAGAAATGGAAAAAATGGAAATAAAGTCTATGTAAATAGGGAAGGGTGAAGGGGGTGAAGGGAGGGCTAGGAATGGGGAAAAAATAAGAGCCAAGATGCATTATGTAAAGGTACAATTTCCAATGAGAAATGTAATTGTGTTGTATACTTACAATGTACCAATAAAAGAATTTAATAAAAAACAAAAAACAAACTTTAGCTAAGTATACTCAAAAAGGAAGAAAATATTTTATTATAACCCAGATTAATGAATTCAAAATCTAAATTTTGTGACTTGAAATTTCCTTTGTACCCCTCAAACACTGAGTACAGTTTTTACATAAATTTAGAGACTGTCCCTAATGTAGGGAGGTGGTTTAAATTGCTCTGGCCCTAAGCTCAGATCCTAGCCCTCAAATGCATGGCATTTTTAAGTGTCCTATAAAGTGTGGCAGCCCCTAGTGATATATAATGGAATGCTAATGCTATCAGGGAGCAAGGAGCAATTTTTCTTTTATGAGCACAGAGCAGTGACACAAGGCCCAAAGTGAACAGTGCTAAGTGCACCAGCTGCTGTCAATCAATATTTTGACCATTAATACCTATTGAGGCTTTTAGTTCAGTTTAAATATGTATCATCCTGGCTTATTTTAAGCCATTTATGGATTCTAATCCTTCAGTTTTGAAATAATGATAGCTGTAGAATGTAACAAAAGGCAATTACCCATTAGTATGTTTTAATGCTGGTGAAAATGTTTTAACGCTGGCACTAATATTTAAAAGCATACTGTGAACTTTAATAATAAGAGAAAAGCTACTTTTCAAGTACTTGTAGTATTTGATTTATTTCCAATCAACACAGAGGCAAGCTGATCACCACACATAATTTTTTCTTCAAGAACATGTTTTATTATAAGTCTGTAGGATAGAGATGATAAGTCAGAATCTATTCTTAAATGCTCATCTTCTGTAAAAATGATTTTTAAAAGTTTAAATTATAAACATAGTTGTGTTCTTTGTCATTGTTTATCACTATGTTCTTAGGGGAGCTCTTGCAAAAACCATGAGTTCCATCCTCAGACGGCAAAGGGGACCAATACAGGTTTACCCTGAAATTTTACATTTTCAGACCTCTTAGAATAGAAAATCTCTCTGACCAACCCTGAAAGAGTAAACAGTAGGAGGATGCATCTTATCGCACAGACACATGATCTCCCTTGGAAGATCACTGAAAGAATGCACTTATTTTTAAATATCTCAGCATCTTTTAGTAAAGATATACATACAGGTGAATCCCAGCTCAGCACCTAATAAGATGACCTTTACCTGTGTTAGTCTTTGTATCTTTGCAAAATGAGGGTGTTGGGTTTTTTAAGGCTTCTTCCTAATTTATAAATTCAAGTTCATTTACAGATACTGGACATGAAATTCACTTGGCATCTCCTTTCCCCTTATGAGTAAAAAGTGTTCAGTGAGTACTTCTTGTTCCTGTTTCAGATTATTTTATTGCATGACTAACAGAAGGTCCCTAATAAACATTATAGATACAACATTTAGATCATCCTTGGAGAAAAAAAATGAGAAATCAGTTATGCCATCCACATGGACTATTTTCAGAGACTATTTTCTAAGGTGAATATGAATGTGATTAACACATTCAGATGACTGAAAGTACACGAACTCTGTTCTGAGTGGCTATTCAGTTTTAAGAAGTTACTTCAGTTCTTTAGGATTCAGTTTTTTTCTCTGTTAAATGAGGGGGCTAGAAAAGACCCTCTTAAATTCCAATAATTATTACTCTATGATAACAAAAGGTAAACACTAAAATATGTCTCCTTGTTGATTTATACAGTTCAAGGTAATTCACAGATTTCTAAAATTCTATATATATGTAAATGTATTCAGAATTTTTACATTGCACTGGTTCAGAATTTGCTTTCAATGACTTTTGCATTTAAAAAAATTTATAAAAGAAGATAGAAATCATACAATCCCCCTCCGTGCTTATAAATTTTAAGCCTAAACTGCCTTAAGAATAGTAACTTAGAAAGATGTTACCTCAGTAATAGTGGATAATGCACTAATATTTTATAATTTCAGCCAGAATTTTAAAATATTTTATGGAATTTTTGATGATGATTCAAAGGTAAAATTTGCTTTATGTGTTGGGAGCATAATGGCTGAATTTAATTCAATCAAAATGTGATTAGTGTTACAAAATAATATTCCCAACATAGATGAGCTGAAATTGGTAAAATAGTCACACAATTCAAGCAAATTTAGGGCTATGAAGAAATCTTTCCCTTCAATAAAGCTTGGTAATTTTAAATCTGTGTTGTTTTGTTAAAGTATATATAGCCCTTTAATATGATGCCAAGGATTACATTTTATCTGGCTTCCAAGATTATATCCTGTATCCTTGTCGATTATTTATTAGCCAAAACAAGAGAAAGACTAACCATTGATGATGGAGAAGGGCAAATGACTGAAGTCAAAGGAATCATCTCTGATGGCATCACTTCCTTTGTTTGGCTATTTCTATTCTATTTTCTATTCTATTGGATAATGATCCCCCCATGACAGTTTTATTATGTTAAGACCTTAATACAAAGGAATTTAACTTTGTGCTCTGAATGGATCAGCACATTGGCCATCTAAAAAGAAATTACATTGCTTGACTTGAAACTTCTGTCTTATACCTCAAGTCCCTCACAGTGTAATCTAGTTAAGGCATAGGATTTTTATGTTCTCAAATCATGACTACGTTATTAACATCAGAATGTCACATGGTTAGCATGTAAAACGTGCATTCATCTTGATGCTTGGACTTCAGGCATTTTAAAGGGCTTCAAGACTTCCAAAATAAAGTCCCCAAAGTACACTCTTTGCTATGAATTATAGCATTGTCTTGCCTGTTTCCATTGTATTCAAAGTTTCCATCCATTAATAGGCTGAGATAAGAGTGGTGATGCCAACTATTTCATCAATAACATCAGTTTGTAACTACTAATGTCTTCTATTTTGCTTTAAAAGATGATAGTACAGAATGGATAATCTTTGTTATATTTTATTAAACTTTCTGAAATGGATGACATGGTAAATTGTACAGAAGAAAAATACTTTGGGAGTTTAAGAATTTAAGAAATGCTTTTGCACACCTTGCCTTCAGAGAAAGAGTGAAAGAGAGCATATAATACTAATAATGATAATAATTATAAATTAGAACATCTAAAATCAGGTTAAGAAATGAAAAGTGCTGCATAAGAAACTTGTGTATTTATAACATTTTATATTATAAAAAATCATTTATTTAACCAAACAATGATTTGGAAACAGTTATTCCCACAGAAGGGGTGGGAGCTGTTTCTGCAAGTTTTCTTCTTTAAATTACTTGATATAAAAGGATTTACTCCCTACAGTTTTAAGAGAAGTCATTTCTAGAACTTTATTTATGTTGCTCATCAGGGCTGCCATGAAAAAAAGGCTGCTCTGTGACTGCAGAGCCATCACTTCCCAGTATCTTTATAAAAACAAACAGCTCCCCTGGCTTGAGTCCCCACATGACAATGACCCAGGGCTGTCAACAGACTTCCTTTACCTGCTGCCTGAGAACATGACTATGACATTTGCTCTTGTGACAAGGCAAATTTCGGCAGCTCCTCTGGAAAGAGATTAGCATTCATCACGCTGCAGCACCTTTCATCAAGCTAATGACATTTCAATCAGCACATTTTCTCCAGTTTCAGTACTTTGTCATCTGAGCACAAGTCTCTAATTACACCCAAGCAACAAGTTTCACATCAATCCCATAATTTATACACTCACCATACACCATCGCTCCTCCAGTTTCATGCAAAAAGCGGACTCGATGATTTTTAAATAACCAGATTGTCAGAATGGTAAGGATGAGCAAAAAATTAAAGACAAGCAGCTCCACGGCTCCCTGATGTTGAAAGTGATACTCATCCTTCTCTGACATAAACCTTTGCTGTCTCTCCATTCTCCAGTCTTCTTGGGATTCCTTAGATAAAATCCTGGATAAAGGCTATTTTATCAAGATTTGCCTAAGACAGTCTGGCTGCCTGAGAATTACAGAATAAACACTGCTACTTTACTTGCTACTTCACAAGCATTCTGCCCTGGCTTAGCATTCAGATGGCTTCTAGTTACAACTTCCTGTTTCTCTCTTAAAGCAGCCTCGCCTCTTTTCAAACTCCAGAGTGTGGTTTCATCATCATCAATTCTTCACATCTTTAAATGATTCATTTCGTGAAAATACTTTCCATACTGGCAAATCTACAAGCAACAATTATGAGCTCTTGAGTCATGATCTTATTGTTTCAAACAAGATTTCTTAAAGTGCACAACTAGTGATTTGTAGATAAATATTTTAAAAGTTCACTTTACATTAGGAATATTCTCTGGGCTCAAAAAGGCAGTTTCCAGCTCATAACCTCATCCATCCTCTCCAACTAGAGCCTACTAAGGTGATGGGGTTTGATAACTCTGGTTTGAACTGAAATGATTTCACAGGAATTCTTTTGAAGTTGAAAAACATGAAATTAGTATGCGACTTTCTGTTTGGCTTTCTATAATGGGTTATCATAGAACAGAATTTAAACTCTGAGTCTATTGTTTTCAACAAGAAAAAATAAAAGGGAAGGTCAAAAAGAAAATTCTATCCTCATCTTACAACTGGTCTATTTGGATATGTTGAGTCATCTTGTTGAAGGAACAAATCATGCAGCCATTCTCAGCAGGGCACATACATGTGTTTCTTTTTGCAGAGCTTCTGGCCCTGATGCTCAGGACCCTCAGCGATCTGTGGCAGATCACAGCCTCCTCTGTCCTATGGTGGAACAATGTTAATCCCTGACAAATACTTCTGCTACCAACAATAAAGGCTTCAGAATCAGAAGAGCCATACCATACCAGTGAAGCTGGTTCATTTGACAAGCTGGTTCTGCTTGAGTCGATATATTTTTTTTAATTAAATTCTTTTATTGGTACATTGTAGGTATACAACACAATTACATTTCTCATTGGGAATTGCACCTTTACATGATGCATCTTGGTTCTTATTTTTTCCCCATTCCTAGCCCTCCCTTCACCCCCTCCACCCTTCCCTACTTA